ATACTTGGTCAAATATATACTTTTTTAGAGGCAGTGTGGAATAGTCAGCTCCAAAGTGTCTTTAAAACAACTCAACTATATAAGCTTAGTTGTTTCAGCACAAGCAAGGGCTGATTGTCATGCGATGTAGAGGACCATTTTCATTATTTTGGCAAGAACAGGGACAGTTTTGTCCTGACGAGCTGTTAGATGAATAGCAGAATGTGTCACATGAAAAACCACTGATCTTTAACCCAGCTATCTACTTAACCAAGCCTAGAAATGAATGGTGAATGTGGGAAGAGCAAAGGCCAGTTTGCTGTCATTACAAATTAGAGAAACTGTTAATATCTGCAGCCAAATGAACTCTGGGAGTTACAGGTACTAGGCAGTAAACTGGTTGAGGGTAGAGAGAATTAGGAGAGAAGTTCAGTAACTGTGTAGGGTGTGTGTATCTATCATTACTATTGAAGATTGGTACATTTGTATAAAATAACAAAATTTTCTGAATCTTCTCCCAGTGTCTTTGATGACTCTGGTGAATGAACATCAAATATAAGGACCTCTCCTTTAGAATAATTGATTGCTCTTTATCTTTAAATAGAATTGCAAATACTAAATGAAGAGAAATAATAAATCTATGCTCACTGTTTTATCTTTTTTCCCCGGGAGTCGTCCTGGGGACACTGCTTCATGTACAGTTAATATAAACATTTATACTGAACTCCTAGATGTTTGAAAAACAAATACTGTAAAGATCAGTAACGTTTTAAAATGATCAGTTATGGGAATTAATGCTTACAGAAAAACACCATTCTTTCTTGCCCTGCGAGTAGAATCACATTGTCTCCCTACAGTCTTGTTAGCTCATACTAACTGAAATGCAAATTCTTTCCAACTAATTGGACCTCGTTGAACGTACATGTACAGTACATAGTTATATGCATGTAGATTTTTTTTACTAAATTCCTCTGTAATTATTTTCTTGATTAATATCTAAAGCAGAGACGTGGAACAAAAATCTCTTTAAAGAGTTTACATATTATTGAACATTAAGGAGATAGTAACTGTTGCATGTTTTAACAGCTTAATTAATAATACAGAATAATTGGAACAAAAAGAAGAAAATATTTTTTCAATGTTTAGTCATTTTGAACTATTTGCATTAACCCTTTAACTGAAATAATTAACACTTAAACTGTCAGAGTAATGGAATTTAGAAAGAAGTAGGATGCATGTACATTATATAGCATATTCTGCTGGCTAGATTTTCTTCTTGGCACCTGGATTTTCTGTAATCACCTTTCCTATCCTTTCTTGCCATATGGTGCATTTCCGTATCAGTAGTTTTCAGAGGAGAGATGAAATCAACGAATTATATTTTTAAAAGATTCAGAAAGTCATGCAGATAATGTAATTGTCTTTGAAAGTAAGTAATAAGTATTATTTAAAACAGAAAGAAGAAAATACCCTAACACCACATACAGTTCACAAAGCATGTAACATTTTCAAAAAACACAAGCAGACAACTGCAACTGCACTCTGTTTTAAGTTCCATTAGAACCTGGATTCTGTAGGCACCTCTTCTATTCAGCATCTGGATATTCCCAGGAGGTGAAAATGTAAAATAATTTCACAGATCCTTTTATCTGTCAGCACAAACGCCATTGGATAGCAGTAAAATACTTGCAGAACATATTCCTGATTAAAAATCTATTGAAAATGAGATATTTTTTTAATGTTTTTAAAAGTATTTTTTTTCAAATACTTTTAGAGCCCTTACCTTGGCTATAGTGTTTCAGATTCTCATATGAGCTAGCCAAAGAGGAGAGAAAATGCTCAGTTTGTGCCAGACTTGTATACTAAAGTTGTGGGGTTTACTTTTATTCTTTTTTTTTTTTTCCTTTCTACCCTCCCTCCTTCCCCCCTTTTCCTACCCAGTCCCCGTACTCATTCCTGTACACTTAGATGAGGCTTAAACTGCTACTTGAGGAGGTTGGCTTCTGTTGTATTTTTCCTTCTTAGTTACTTTTATGTCCTTATTGACTGCTACTTTTCATATCCCTGTTTGAAATTCAGTATTTCTTGTTTTTTCTTGTTTTGGTTTTTCTGTGCTGGCATTATTTTGCCAAGCAAGATGCAGTAGAGACACTGTAATTTCAAGGATGACCTGGACTGGGACTGACAGGCTAAATTTTGTTTCTTCTCTGTCATGTTAGTGGGGTAGGGGGGAAACATATCTTTTTGAAAACATTCTGCAGCTGCGATGTAGAAGTCACACATTTGATAATTAAATGATAGTCCTCCTTTGATACAGTGATCTGAATGAGCTTAGATTTCTTGTAAGGTTGTAGCATTCTGGCCAAGATTTCTGCTTGGGAAGACCAGATTTGGATGTATTAGCTAGTCAGCCTAATAACCCTGTACAGACTGTATTGATTTTCTAGGAGAGAGTTTATGAACTAAATAAACTTGGAGTTGGTGTCTTAATAAACTGCTTCTCTCAGTCTGTCACATTTCG